GATTGTCGTGGGATAGAGCTGATGCATTAGGACCTAGTACTTATCATGCTGTTCACAGTGGGAGCACAGAGAACGTGATCACTGAACTTGTTGACTTTTACCTTCCCTTTAATTAGGATTTCAGGAAGGTTAAAATTGGACAAAGACCTGACAAAGATGTCCTGGTCTGAATTACAGATATCCTCTGTCACGGTGTGTCTAGCAACAAGTTTTCTTCAGATTGGTGACAGCAGGTGGCCCATGGTTCATAAACCCTCAGACAGGCTAGGACAAGGGTTTTCTTTTCACTGCCTGAACAAAACACTGGACAAATCCCCAATCACTTTTTTAAATCCTTAAGATTTTGTACAAAATATATATAATGAATATGTATAACAATTATTTTATGCTAGACGGAAAAGAAACTAGTTGAAAAGTGAAGAATTCTAAAAAATACTTTGGTTGTGGTAAGAGATACTAAGTGTCAAGATTATGCTTGGGTACTTTTCAAAAGTCTTCAATGCCGGTACCGATACCTTGACTTCGATGCCGGTTCCTGAATACCGAATTATATAAATACATTTTAACAAATTTGGGAACAATTACTCACTTCAAAAGTGGAAGCTGTTCAAAGACCTGGGAGCAGCCGGGGAAACTGTACTTATTGGACTCTATAAAAAGGATAAAGAACTGTCAAAACAAACATTAATAACAAATAGTAAGGCAGAAATCTAAACATCACGCCATCTAAAAAGCTCCCAAGTTTGGCGAGGGAAGCATGCGCCACAGTTTCTATCCCATCGGACAATGAGGTGAACGGACTCACTAATGAGTTTAGCTGCACTGGGTAGCTAACAAGCAGTAAAAAGGTACCTGTGTATGTAAGCAGCTCATGGTAAAAAAGCAAGCCCATCTCTGTGGCTAAACAGAGTGTTTCTAATGCACGCCTCTACAACGTGTACCGTTAGACAGCCTGTTGCGTGCTGCATGGGCACACTGACACTGATAGTTTCACTCTGTTTGTATTGAAATTTGGTACCTAATGACAAAATATTTTTCGATTTGAGCTGAAGGAGTCTCTGCAGTGACATCAGGGATTGTTATAACAGTATAAAGTCCTCACACTTCTTTCTGAAGGTATTAGTTCCTCAGTGAACACAGAACTCACCTGGAGGATCCACCCTGAGCATTTTTAGCATTTTCCCAGACTCTGTGTACACCTGTTGGTCATGCAACTTTATGGATGTGTTTGATTTGGGTCACCCAGCATACTCACCGAGTGGTGCATTAAATCAGTGCTATCCTTAACCCACGATGACATTGTCCTTCATTTCTAGGCTAATGAACGTACACATTCACCCTGTCAACCCTGTCTCCAAGAAATTATGTTTGTATGTTACTAAATTGTTTTTTGATGATTACATTGTGGTGACAATGTAATACCTGCCTTGATTATGTTCAGAGTCTATGTTTTTTGACACACTACATTTATGTAACACAGAGTTGCAAGGAGGTGGTTGCGGTTTGTAGAGGGCATACACAGTGCAGCACTGTCAGACCACAGTCCAGGGCTTGGGACGAGACTTCTGTAACAACAGCACTTTGGTTAAGGTTAGGAAAGATCCTGATTTTGGTTAAATGTGAATGAAAATCTTCTCTATCAACTCACTTCTGACATTTGAATAATTCTGTAGTCACTATGAGTGGATAGCATGGCAAGATTGCCTATTTTGGCAGAAAATAAATAAAATATGTTCTCAGTTAACATTTTACTGATGCGTTCATTATTAACATTTTTGCGCCTTGCTTGGTACGTTAATTATCAACATTTCCCTATTATGTTAATTCGGGTTGCATTACGTTTGCTCCAAAACATATTTACTCTTGCAAATTAGTTGTATATAAATGTAATTTCTAGGTGACACTGCTAAACCATGTATGTTTCCAGAGTGTCTTCTCTCTGGAGCTCTCCTGCAGCCGCAGACACACCAGCAGCTTCTTCTCTGCTGCAGCCGCTGACTTAACACCTTTCTTTTCTTCCACTCTCACACAAGTTATCCTGACTTTTTTATGTGACTTTTGTTTTTACTCTGTGACAGATGCGACTTGAATTGTAGTGAAGTACAATACTTACAGTACAGAAGTAGCAAGTTTGGGCAAACAGTGTTACTACTGTATAGTAGTCTACCTACTGAACTACTGAGAGTGCACTAATTACCTAACTTTTAAACATAAACTTAAGGCAAACCAAACTTGCAGTCATGAGTAATCTGACCACCTCATCTCTGGCACTACCTTTACACAATGTTATTGGTTTTATATATCTCTGTCTCTTTTGTAATGTATTTATGTGTTATATTGTAATGTCTTGTTTTGTGGACTGATTTGTTATAACCTGCCCAGGGACTACAGATGGAAATAAGCTTATTAACTAACTTACACAGCAATTCAATTCAATTCAATTCTATTCTATTTGTATAGCACCAATTCATAACAGAAGTTATCTCAGGACACTTTTCAAATAGAGCAGGTCTAGACCGAACTCCTTATAACATTATTTACAGAGACCCAACAGTACATTTACATTGAAGTATAAACTCCAATGCTGATTAATGTGCCTTGTTCCTGGTAAATAAATATACTAAAAAGTACTTCAGTAGAAGTTAAATTACAGAGCGTAACAGTAATTTGTTACTTCCTACTGATGCTTCTTTAAGATTTCAAAGACACTTCATGGCTTGCATAAAGCAAAGCAATGAAACACTGTCAGTGCCATCTAAAGAAACCTTCTAACCTTACCTGAGTGTTTTGCACATAGCTAATTCATCTGAAATAAAAAGTATGTAAGATATGTTCCATCATCAGACTGAGCCAATTTGTGTCTTTTATCAAACTGCAACCAGATCCAAACAGAATTATTGCAACATTCCTGACTAAAATGACTACTTATTCTTTTTATGTCACCTTTTTTCTTAGCTTTACAGCAAGACACACCTAACCTTTAGAAGCTTTGTAAACATCCAAATTAGTAGCACTCATTTGTGTTGCAGTTCAATTACCAGAGAGCTGATTTGCTGGAAGAATATAAGTCAAATCATTTGAATAGGAAATTCTGTTATAATAATGTTTTTCATGGCAGAGGAAGCTTGGAGGCATGGTGATTTGCCTCAGCTTTATGACGGTGCCGTCCACGCCTAGGCTGACTTTTTATTAGCAAGGTGTAGCACGTGTGTGTGTGTATGCGTCTGTGCTTGGTGTTGTGTTGGCGTTCATGTCTGTAGGACTCAAGCGTGTCCTTTGGCTCTCCTCCGTAGAAACAAAGGGAATGTGTGCATGTGTGTCTGATGTTGTCTTTAACAGTTTTCCTCTGAAGCCTTGTCAGACATGCCATACAAAACACACACACACTCACAGAGCCTCAGAGCCATTGTTTCTCACACAGCAGGGCACAGGGTCGATTGCCAGTTGTGGAGCATTATCAGCCTCCCTGTGTTAGCTGGTGTGTGTGTGTGTGTGTGTGTGTTTTTGTGCAGACATGCTCTCAGCTGAGGGAGCTGGTTCACGGGCCGGTCAGAGCCGCCTTATTTCCTTTTAATTGACTTAAGATGGGCAAACAAGACCTCAGCAAGCACACGGTACCCATTACACTCACACACAAGAAACACACAACGCCAAGATGCACGCTAATGAAGCACACGTACCGACACACACACAGCCGCAATTGCTCCTGCGTGTGTTAGCTACTTTACAGTTCCACCAGACTAAATGAGGGGGTTGTGTTTTCCCAGTCAGCATTGCTGCCTTCCAGCCGCCTGCAGCTCTGCTACAACTCATTCAAGATCGGTAATATTTTTAGTCACCTTGCTGCATGTAACTCAACCAATGTGGACACCTTGGTTGAGTTACATGCACGCCAAGCCAAGGTCATCATCAGAGAGGAGACCGTCTTGTTGTCTAAGGTCACAGCTTTCCGAAGCACATTCTTTTCACACATGGAAATTGGGAAAAATGTTTCTGGCTCTAAATCTTGCTGTAAGACAGTGGGTTTTGGCTTTAACACTTCGCCTATTGCTAACAATTCCATGTTGACTCCTTTCGCGATGACACCACAGTTCTGCGGTGCGGTCAGCAAAGCAATTTGGAAAATTATGAGACTAAGAAAGAAAAGAATTCTTAAAGAAGTTGAGAAGAAACAGATTAGGTTCTCCCTTCAAAAGAGAACCTAGTATAGACAGTTTAATGATTTTGTCCCAGAGCTCTGCCTGTGTAGTTTCTTGTCTTATACTCGATAGTCTGACACAAACAAATACAAAGCAGTCCTAAACCTACAGTCCCCCTCTTTAGTACCCCATAGCTTTTGTTTTTTTTAAAGACTGATTTAGCATTCAGTGAGGGTGTAAATGTTGTTTCATCCTTTTATAACAAAATAAAACAGCAATGGCATTTAGAAATTGGCAACCATAAATTTGGGTGACTCACTAGAGACAGATTTAAGGGACAAAAAGCTTCAGAGGCTGAGATATACTGTCTTTTAGTGCCTAGTTTTGATCAGATCTGACAACATTGGATACTACACTTCCCATATTGCACCTAGGGTCTTTTGCCTAGACCTTTTGCCTAGACTTTACTGCTTGGTAAACACCCAGAGTGTTTTAACTCCCAGACTGTTGTGCAGACTTTGTTTCATTTTCTTTTTTTTTCTTGATCTGAGCAGTACCAGGTTCAGTACCAGGTTCAGTACCAGGTTCAGTACCAGGTTCAGTACCAGGTTCCTGCAGCTGGAAGAACATAGAATCACTTCTTTTACAAACCACTAGCTATACAGGGCCTTGCTGTAACTACACACACATCTAGTGCTTTGATAAGCTGCATGCCTCACTCACTCATCTGCCCTCTCCGACCATGGATATGCATGCTGAGGAAAAACAAGTATACTAACAAAACACACATACAGTATGTTATTACCAGCAGAGATTTAAAACCCAACTTTTTTCTTTTTATTTCCTGTTTGTCTCCTGCAGGTTATTCCTAAAACAGAAGCTCCTCGCTCTGCAAATTACCATTTCAATTGATTTATTTTATTTTATTTCCTTGCAAGCATGCCTATCATTTTCATTGCCCTTTCATCCACCCATCCATCCATCCATCCTTCCCTCTCTCCCTCACTACCTAATCATTGTTTTATCATTGGTGTGAGAGAGAGAGAAGAGGACAGGCGAAAGGAGGAGGAGGAGAGGAAGAGAGGAAGATGGCCAGCTTTCTACTTGTCTGTCTTTCTGTTTGTCTGTCTTGTTTTTGTCCAGGTATGGCCTTGTAGAAAGTGGCCATTTGATAATAATAAGTAATAGTTTGAAAGTATTCTAAGACAAATAACAGTTTTTAAGCCACAAAGACATTTGAATGAAAAGATTGAATAACAACACATTACCAAGGCTATATCAATAGTTCTTTCTACCTCAATTGGCAATTGGCATGACTCTTAACTACCAAGCTTTACAACTTTGTCCACTGCCGTGTGAGTTAAAACCGGACAATAGTTGGACGCTTTAGGGGGCAAGTTGGCAAGGATTTGTATGTCATTGTCCAACCGAGACTCTGTTACTGCTCATTTTGTATCAAAAAAGGCACACAATACCATTGTTGGCACTGTGACACAGCACAGGCAACACTGAACACTGTTGCTAGGTCAAGAGGGACTGATTTACACTGAAGCCGGAAAATATACTTGCCTTTTAACAGTACTTTATTATAATGCTGTTTGTCAATCTTTATCAAAATTCCAGCTTCTGTGATTTGGATATTGCCCTTGGCCATATTGATTTCGATAATATTTCAATTAGTTTGCTGCCCTACTACCTGGGGTTTGAATGTTTCTGAGATACTAGAACCAGCACCTCTGGCAACAGCAATCAAACCACATTCAAAGTAATTTAGATCAGTCATCTTGCCCATTGAAATGTTGAGTCAAACATTAACTGAACGTGTTGACCTGGTCTGCATATACTTAGTTGCAACCACCCAAGTCACTATTTGAAGGAGCTTTTTGTTGGTGTACAGAAGCAGGTGAACTTAAAGGTCCAGTGTATAACATTTTGGAAGATCTATTGGGCTATAATGGTAAATGGACTGCACTTATATAGCGTCTTTCTAGTCTTCTGACCACTCAAAGCGCTTTACACTATATGTCACATTCACCCATTTACACACTGATGGCACAGCATCGGGAGCAATTTGGGATTCAGTATCTTGTTCATAGACATGCAGCAGGAGGAGCCAGAGATCGAACCGCCAATACTCTGACTAGTGAAGGACCCGCTCTACCTCCTAAGCCACAGCCGAGGGACTGGGTCCTCTTCTACGGAGTCCGCTGAGTTGAACCACCATGTTTTACAGTAGCCCAGAACGGACAAACCAAAAACTGGCTCTAGATAGGGCCTTTCGCGAGTTTCATTGCCACAGTAGTTTCTCCTACATGCAACTTCACTGCTAGATCCCACTAAATCCGACACACTGGTTGGTCCTTTAATGTAGTGGCCAGTGAGACTGTATATTATTTCATAATTTGTGGAAGTCCTGAGGAAGGCAATTCACTGAACCCTCCATGGTAAGAGAGATATGATGTGGCCTTTGAATGAGAGCTAAGTAAATTTTATGTGCATAGAAATAACCCAAAAGTGTGAAGCCACCAAAAAGTTGCAGTGAAGAGCAAGAGGAAGACGTGTCAAACATTTCAAAATCTTACCATGAAATACGGCTGACATATTAATTTTCATGCAAGAAGTGCACAATTATTTTCCCAGTAAAATGTAACACAATGAAGACAATAGTTTCCCAGAGCCTGAATTGCTGCCTCATAAGAAGCAGTAACAGTCCCCCCAGCCTTCAGTTGACAACAAGGATTGAAGTGCAGTGCACTGGGCTCAGCTGTCTCTTGTATCGTGGCACAGTTTTTGTATGGAGCAACTTGCTCAAACACATACTCAACACACACTCTGCAGCATTTGCCCTTTAGGCAGGGAATAAAGCATGTATTATACATCCAGCTCAGGATGAGATGGGAAGGAGAGTTACAGTATAAGGGAGGAAGGGCACAAGTGCTCTTGTGTATGCAGAGGACCATGCAACATGGGGTGTGTATGGGGCCACTAGAGGGTTTCCTTGTTGTTCTCTTCAAACTGCCCATATTAATATGCATACAGTACCACTTGCACAAGTATGTATACAAGTTGTAGGTCAGTTGTCCCGTTGGACAGCCTCTCTGCTCTGTGATAAGAATGGAAATATCTTAATTATCCATGTTTGTTTGTTTTTTCTGGAGAATGTTTGCTCATGCGCCTCATGCTGACATCTTACATACTGTACACTTTCTTGAGTGATAGAAGTGTCCATATGCCATGGGAAGTTGGCTAGGAAATACTTTACTTGCTAGCACCCTCTCGCACTAGGTAAGTGAACACTACTGGTAAATGACATGGATTAAATGGGGCTGCACAGCTATAGTCTCAAGTGACAGAGTTATGAAGACTTCAGATTCATTAAATTGAGACCATATCAACAGATGTATCAGTATCTGTGTCTGTGTCAGACAATAAGAAACAAAAATTAGTTTTTTAATTGATCATAATACAGGTGTGCCCGCTGTCCACACAACACACAATTTTGTCATGTTTAATATCATTCAGCATAAGTTTATAGGTTGCAGTTTTATGTATTTGAGTCTTATTTTTTTTCTATCTAAAATTTAAAGCTGCACAAATAAATATTTGTAAATTTATTGTGTAAGTTGAAAGGTGATTGTAATGAAAAACCGACAGAGACTTATCACCCAACTCTGCAGTTCCCCTCAGCTCTAAAGAGCTTTTTGCATTTTTCAGCTCGTTTTGGTTCACTCTCTCATGAACTTTGTGTCCAGCCCCAGCCAACAGCTGTTTTCAGGCAAAAATCTGATTAACTACAAAAAAAAGTGCAAAATAAATATTTGGAACAAAGGTAAATTTTTCAAGAAGGTACCTAATATATAATTACTTTTGGCTAATCAGACTATAGTAACATTAACTTAAACGTACTGCAAAGGGTTTTTAGCTAGTCCATCAGGCTATTTCTGTATAGTTATTCTTATTGCTTGCTACTGGGTTGGATTCAGTCGGATTTCCCTTGAAATCAATTAAACAAGCTGGTAGAAACACTATCACTTTTGTCATTTCAAATTAACATTTGTCAACATTTTAAATTCCCAATGAATAAATTTGGATTCACTTTGTGCTGGCACTAAAATAACTCCATATTGGAGCTGCTTTAAATAAAGATGAATTTGTTTAAGTGAAAAGTTTTGGCAAGTACTTTTTCTCTTTTTTCACCCATCCTTGGGTGCTAACATTCACACTAGAAGATTGTCATAACAAAGGTTACACACCCTCCACATTTCAAACATGTTATTTTAAACAGAAATAGTACCTGGCATATACTAACTAGCAGAGAAGCTAAACAACGATAATTCAAGTTATTTTACTTTTTCAGTGCCAGATTACTCTCATCTTTAATGTAAGTGTTAGTGTGGAGCCTATTTTCACTTGGTAAGATTTTGGTATGGAGCACAGGAGCACGTGAGAGATTTAAGTGGGAGAGCTGACCAATTGGACAACCTTCAGTACTCCCCTCTATCTCCTGTTCTTATTGTGCACATGTGTCAGATAACTTCACTGTATGTTAGACCCCACAGTGCGCTGCTTTGAGGTCTAGTTTGGTGGTTTTCAGTAACCAATAAATGTGTCCTGTCTGTAATAACCGGTCCTTAAAGTTGTATTTTTGTGTATATGCATAAACCTAATTTCACATGTAAATATGCTGCATGCCGTTTGTATTGTTTCCAGTGAAAGTTCCCGTCTCAGTTCTTTATTAAACGGTACATGTTTTACCTTGAGCTGGGAGTTCTTTAAGTGTGTGCCTGGACTCACACACACACACACACACACGCACACGCACAGCCACCCACACTACACCATCTTTTCTCAATTCCAACTCATTTGAGCATTACACCGAACTTGTGTGTTGTGTGTGAGGACAAAGGACAACCTCACATCATGTAGGCCCCTGGCGCAGTGTGTTTGTGTGACAGCGTCCACACGACGGGAGCCAGGAATGGTGTTTGTGTGCATGTGTGTTTTGCATTATTTATACATATGGATGAAGGAGCGTTTGAAGGGGGTCTTTGGGGCTTTTTGTTTAGACTAAATAAATAACTGGTTGTGGGATCTACACACACACACACACACACACACACGTGTATTTAAAATTCCATTTATTTCATACACTATGTTTTGAATTTTTTATTATATATTCACATAATACAATTTTTTACATGTGTGTTGTCTCCTGTAGTTTTCATACAACCTCTCCGATTTATTTGTTTTTGAATAATCTGTAACATTTTCCTTATAGACCCCCATTCCTTTTATTTCTTTTCACTTTTTTTTTTTCTTTCTTACATGTTGCACTTGGGTGAGCAGAATACACTTTAAACATTCAATATGTAATTTCTGCCTGTAGGGGCACTCTCACATCTAAACAATAACAAAAGATGAAGTTTGAAGTAGTGTTGGATCATGGGAGTTGTTGTCTTCACCACCATTGGCGTGCAGTCAGCTTCTCCCGGTTAGGATTCCTTCAGTGTTCACGGTTCAGGAGGTTTCTACCGAAAGCCCAGTTATCCACAGAGGTCTCCTCCTCTCCGAAACAAACAGACCTGCTGATTAAAACCACTAAACACACTGAATAAAGCAGTTCCACCTTAAAAATCACTGTTTCTCCCACTCTGTTGGACAGACAAAGGACGTCCCAGAGGGGCTGCGAGTCGAGCTGCTCCTAACGTTAGCTCAGATTGTTTCTCTGATAACTTAAGATCCAGACGTCTGATGACTAAAATCCTTCATCCGGTTCAAATCTAGAGTTAAACAGCATCAAGATCTAAACAGTGGATGGTAACAATGTGGCTTCAGACTGGATCAACAGTCAATGTATGACAGCTTCTGGCAGACAACCACAACGCTGACGCAGGCACAAAGGGGATATGACGCCATAGACAGGCGACCGGTGAAACGCAGCGTTACCTGAATAAAATGACAGATTTCTCTGAGTTTGAACATTGTTGGAAACATTTGGGATAATGGAAGTACACAACTCAACTACATATAGAATATAGCTCTAGAGTTTATATATATTTTAATGTGGAAATGTTACAGATTATAGCTTAACCCTCATGTGTCCTAATCAGAATATTGAGAATGCTGTCCTTACCAGAAAAACTACATCATTCATTCATATCCAAAACATTTTCCAAATCAAATGAATGCTTCATATCTCCATCCAATTTAGATTTAACAGAAGATATTTTATTAACAGACATCACATTAATGATTTCTAGCAAACAAAGCCCATCCAACTTTGAAAAACCCAATTTAGCACAGGCAGGCAGTAGGAGCCAGTAAGTGTGATATTTAATAGTGTGACTTTAATATAAGAAATTGATTAATTGATTTACTTCTTAAGTTTTTTGTTATAAATTGAATTGCAGTAGGATCCTGCAGGCCTTACAACCTGATCCCTGCAGACACCCTGTGTCCCTTAGTTCACATTTCACTGTGTACAAGTTGGCGTAGCACTCCTTTCCCAATTTGAGCCATTACTCTCCACTTTGTAATCAGCTCCAACAATTATAACCTCGCTGTGCGCCTCTGATTACTGTCCTGGTGTATTTTGGACTGTTCTGGGAATCCGGAAAAAAAAACTGATACTGGTCCCAGCAGAACTCCAGGTTACACACATTTACAGTAACCCCGTCTGTGTGTGTTTGTGTGTGGGTTGCCATTCTTTTGAAGTTCTCATTCCCTCCAAATTACAGTGCTGCCATAATGAAGTATTACCATGCGATTCCAACGCAAACCATTACAAAGAGTGTGTGTGTGTGTGTGTGTGTGTGTGTGTGTGTGTGTGTGTGTGTGTGTGTGTGTGTGTGTGTGTGTGTGTGTGTGTGTGTGTGTGTGTGTGTGTGTGTGTGTGCTGGACACTCGAGGTGAAAGTTCAAATGGGATGTTCGAGCAAAAAGCATCTACCCAGCCCAATTGTGTGTGTGTGTGTATTTCTGTATGTATTTTATGATGCAAGTAGAAAAATAGCTTTTGTGTGCGATGCAGCCCCACTGTGTCGAGGCGAGTGTTTGTGTGTGTAACAATGCGTATGACAGAAAGAAAGGCGGTTGCGTGAGTGGCCTCCCAGTTGTGTTTCTAAATGTGTGGATCCGCCAGCCAGCTGTGACAAAGCTCCGTCTGAGCTCGCTCACACACACTCGGAGGTGCGGGCGTCTTTGGCTGCGGGCTGTGCTGGCCTCACCTACGGCCTCCCCGTTCTGCTGCATGTTGCATGAGACGCAGCCACCTCATACATAGTACATTAGCACAAACATGCCATCGGTTGATATACATACTGCATTGGCACCTGCACCCGCCTTCACTAACAAGCATCCAATCCATTTTTCATCGACACATGCAGTGGGACGTCGGTTTGAGGACAGGAACATAGGAGGTGGTGGGGGGAAGTAGGTGTGTGTTTGTTGCTTTTGTTTGTGTTTGTTGGAGATGGTGGATGTTGTCTTCTGTTATCTCCCCTTTGGTGCCCTACCCTTCAGGTTTGCAGGATTTGTTTTCTCCTCAGCAGAACGTCTTTTTAAAAACTGAGCATTTATTTAAAGCTGCATATTTTGTTTTTATATGTACAAAGGCTGAAACCATGAATGTGAAAAGTGTTGCTCATAGTGACAAACACATATTTTTGCAGCTACCCGGAGCTTCACAGCCTCTTTTTGCTAATCATTTTGGTTTCCCGGCCTGCAAACCCCACTCTCAGCCTTTGTTTTCAGCTGCTGCAGATAGCTGTTTTCAGCAAAAAAAACCCCACATTTTTCCTTCTTTTTCAAATGATTGACCATATTTTAGACTACAGAGAGGGATGACTAAATGTGAATTCAGTTGGACTTTAAAGCTGCAGTTGTTAACTTTTATGAAAATAACTTTTTTCATTATGGCTGCAACTTTCACTACATCCTAACAGTAGCACATGAGACAGATGATCTGTAAAAATATCTGGTTCCTCCTAGTGCTCCTTATGATATTTACAGGAATCTACCGGGCCTGAACGAAAACAACCAATCAGAGCTCTCAGGCTTTGTCTCTTATTTTACCTGAATGCTGCTCCAGATGTAACATTAGTTTTTGCTAATATTTATTATAGATGTCATTATAGGTTTTTGTAATTAATAAGTGGTGATTTTGCAGCCAAACAATGAACCGACTTTTGTGTGAAATTAAAGTCGCCCTCCACTCAAAAATATGTGTTGTTCCTACAGTGTGCGGTTTGAATGATGTCTGTGCAGAGTTTGACACTAGAAGGATGTTTTCACATTCATCAACTGCAAAAGGCTGCTTATAATTTACTTGAGATTTTGGGGGAAACTAAAACAGTGAATGGTACACCTAAATTTGTAATCTGGCCAGAAACATGACTCCAAAGAAATGCTGATGTTGCTCTGGGTCTTCTGGATGGTAACATCTTTTTATATTAATAATAAAATCAATCAGTATAATTGTTTTCAACTTGCCCCTGAAGTGGTCTTAAAGTCAATTCATTCTACAGTAAAGGACTTTTTTAGTTTGAACTCTAGCAGCTCTGTAGCATTTCTGTCAGATAGCTATTGATACTGTTGCCTCCAGCTTTATCCCATAAGAGGAAGGGTGCTGATAGCAGCCGCGCTGTCACTGTGGCTGCTATCAGCTAACATCTCTTGCTCCCAGTCAGTGACCTATCTAGCTTCTGCATTATAGCTAGCGTGCTAACAGCAGTGGGGCCAAGCACCCTTTAGCAAGTCTCCCCTGCAAAGAGTCTCCTAAATGAAAACCATTCCCCTCCGCCTGCTTCCCGAGCTCTGCTCAGGGACAGGAGCCGTGGGGTCAGCAGCTGGTGGAGGATATGGCAATTGTTTATGAAAAAAAAAATGCTTTCTCAAGCCCACCAAAAACACACACTTGGGGGGAAAAAAAAGCCTCCGTCCCTGAACAGCCAACAGCTGGGAAGGGTTGGGAGTAGCCTGGAGGCTGGCAAGTCGCCCCCTCCCCTCCCCAGTCCAGATGGGGGAGGTTAGGCTGAGGCTAGCTGCAGCCCACCACCTCCCCTCCCCTCCACTTCCCAAACTTCCCATTCCCATTAAGGGGAGGCTGAAGATTGCGGAGGAAGGGAAAGGAGGAAGAAAAGCAAAAGAGCATGACTGCTCTGTTTTTCACCCCCAACCCTCCCTCCGTCTTCAGCCTAATCAAATAAAGCAGGAAGCTTCCGAGACGGAAGAGGAGTGTTTATTGATATTTGCGTGAGCTCCTTCACCCCCTGTCCTGTCCCTGCTGTTTATTTTCTGTCCACCACTTTTGAAAATTCAGATATTGTCGATGCTTTGGGCTCATATATCATGCCTAACTGAATGTTTAAAAACTACCGAGGCTAAACGGTTATGTTTCTTTCAGCTTCTTACAGTGTACCATTATCTTAAATTGAGCCACTGGGAAATTACACACCGGCTCGACATCCGCTGCAAAATGGCTATGACCAGTCAATTTATTGTAATAAGAGGGTGTCATATGAAATAGAATAGCCTTAAATAAGAATTGATGACCCTCTCCATCTATACCATTGGTTGGACACAAATCGCACACGCTGCTTGTACTGGAGCCAAGAATGGCCTGTTGAGGGTATTGGTTTACAGCTGCTTACCTTTTAGTGCCTAAAAAGTTGAAATTGCATCTTCAAGTAGCTCACAGCTCAAAAGTGGTCTTTAAGTGGAGAACTGTGTTGGGAAGTGGACAGATGCAGATCTCATAGGGA